ATAAAGCAAAAAAAAAAATAAAAATAAATAAAATAAATAAAAAAATAAAATAATAAATAAAAAAAAAAAATAACTAAAAAAAATAAATAAAGATAAAAAAATCAAATAAAAAGTATAAAAAATAAAATATAAATAATATAAAGAATACAAACAAAAAAAGATCCAGATGAAAAATAAAACATCATAAAATAAAATAAAAAATAAAAAAACATAATAAATAAAAAATAAAAAAAAAAAAAAAATAAAAAAAAAAAAATAAAAAAAAAATAAAATTAAGAAAAAAATAAAAAAAATAATAATATAAAAAAAAAAATAAAAAAATAAAAATAAAAAAAAAAAAGATATAAGAAAAAAAATAATCAATAAAATAAAAAAAAATAAAAAAAAAAAAATCCAATAACAAAAAATAATAAAAAAAAAAAAAAAAATAAAAAATAAAAAATAAAGATTAAAAAAATAATAATAAAATAATACTCATAAATAATAAAAATAAAAGAAAAAAAAATAGAATTATAATATATAAAATAAAAAAAAAATAAAAAACAAATAATAATAAAATAATAAAAAAAATAAACAATAAAAAAAAAAAAAAAAAAAATTTAAAAAAAACAACAAAATTACAAATAAAAAATATAAAATAAAAAAGAAAAAAAAATTAAAAAAAAAAAAAAAAAACACAAAAAAAAAAAAAAAAAAAAAAAAAAGGACCTAAAATTGCATTTATTCAAGTGTGACTATACTGAATAACATGGTTCAGTGAAAAAAAACCATTTACTTCAACTGTGTAGGTATATATTGTGCTAAAAAAGCAGTGTGCTTTTTTGCAAAATTTAGCATGAGAAATAACATCTATCTTATGATGTTCGTGTGACTAATTGACCATTTCTTTTTATAAAAATTACATCTGTACTATTATAATTGGCGTTTAATTTATCGGTGATTACATCTATGTCATGTGAAAATAAATTGAGAGTTAATTTGACACAAATAAATAAAGACAAATTTGATTTTGATTTAAATTAAGGAATTGAAGCATTATTAAAAAAATGAGATTGGAAAAAGGTGGTTGATAGGTAAATGAATACAGAAATAGTATAAAAAAATATTATATTGTTGAAGCACCTATACTATATTAGCACATTAAATACTACATATTGCTTGAGCAATTCTGTATGAAGTGCATTTTTATTGTGCTAAAATAGCACAAAATACTATACCATTAGAGATGTTCTTATTAAGTTTAATTAATATAATTTCCAAGTTGAAAGCACTTAAGAAGCCAAAGTGATGAGAAAAATGACCAACCTGTCATCCATTGGCAAACAGGATAAAGTGATATCTGCACCACTTTGACGATGATTCTAAATCAAATTTAAAAATCTTAGTCTCAGAAATAAGGTTTGAATGCATGAACAATATCAACAGATAAAGCTCTGTAAAAGAAAAAATATAAATTCAATAATGGCATCTTACGTGAACGAAGTCCATATAGTCCATTCTATACAAGTGATCTCCTGATAGAATGAGCACATCTTCAATATCTTTGCTTCTTGCATCCTACAAGATGGAAAACATATTCCAGTCATCATCTATGACAATGTCACAGTTTTGTAAAAGTCTCGACAATAATTTTGTTGTCTAATAATTGCTTATTCTTGTATATGTCACATAATAAATATATAAAATTACATATTTTATATGTGTACTCATGTATGGCGTCCTACATTTAAAAATAAAATAAAATAAATTGTGTTGACATGTCTGTCGTATCTGTGACATGTCACGTGTTTGTGCTTCTCAGAGATGAGCACTTCCTAAGTGATGTTAGGTACCTCGAAAAGCCAATGAAACTGCCTCACAGCATCTGCTGTACCTTGGAACCACCTTTTACCTGTCTCACCTTGAGTTTGAGTAGCTGCTAGAGCCTACACAGAGCATAACAAGTTGCAATTAATTGAACACATTTTTTACTCACAAAAAATCCTAAAGCAACCAAGTTCTACATTAAATTACATATGAAAAAAATTGAAAAATACATGAAGATGATGAACTCAAAGTAAAATATACCTCAACAAAACCATCTCCAAAGGTGACACCACCACCAAGGCTATATGCACGACCGAGATGTCTGTTGAGCGATGCAGAGTTGAACTGAGTGAGAATGTAAACTTTGTTGATCCCACTGTTAATGCAGTTGCTCATTGGCACATCAATCAGCCTGTATCCTCCTCCAATCGGGACCTAAGATAGAGGATAGCAGAGATAATGACTAGATCTGATGTAGAACACATGGCGAAAGAGCTTTTGGAACAATTAAATTTTGATTGGATTATGACCGAATTCCATCGTTTAGGTTTAGGAATTCAAATTAGCAATTTTGTTGTTTTTTGGAAAGTTTTGTTTTATAAATAACTTTGTCTAGGAATGTTCATTTTCAGTGCCACTCATTTTGGCATGTTTCTTAAATTTTCTAGAATTTGGATATTTTTTTGTTTTCTATAATACTTTTCATGTCTATCAAGGAATGAGCATAGTTAGCTATTTCTTGTTCAAATTAGGTCTTTCATTGTCGTAAATAAGAATGCAAGTCTTGGCGAAACTAATTTTATTAATAATATTATCGATAGTTTCTCTTTGAGAATTGTCTCTACAATGGGAAATTCCAATTCTTGGATATTGACATTAAATGTGTCCTATTTTCTCTATTTTGTTCTGTCAAGTGGCATCAACACATCGATTTAATGACCAAAAACTTGTGAATGCAGTTGGCTCTAATGGAAGGAAAGGTTGCTTGGAGGATTGAAAGAAGACTTACAGCAGGTTTGGCACGACGTTTGGTGAGAGGAAAAAGGCGAGTACCGGCTCCACCTCCCAGTATGACTGCCACAACTGTTCTCGGGTCCCTTTTCTCCATCTCTAGGTCCCTCAACTGCACAAAAACGACAGCTACACATGCACTCCACAGATACACATGCACTCCACCCACTCCCTCTCTCTCTCTCTGGTCCCTTTTTCTCTCCCCCATACTCCCTTTAATCATGTCCATCCTTTTTCTTAATTTATTCCATTCTCTGCCCCATACACTCAACACACTGCCCCCTCCACTCACATGCACGACATCCATTCTCTACTTATTATTTTTTTTATATTCAATCAAAAAAAAATAACAAAAAAAATAATAATAATAATAATAAATCAAATCAAATCCAATCAAAACACACCGCTGTTTTTCTTATCACCCATCCACCAATATATATTTTTTTTTCTCTCTTTTCTTTATCCATTGTTTTCTTTTATTTTATTTTTTCAACAAAACAACACCACCAAATAACACCAACAACATTCCACAACCTTGTCATTTTATTCATATCAGGGGATCAACCCCGGTCACACTTTTACATCAGCAAAAAAAAATAAAATAAAATAAAATAAAAAAAATAAAAAAAAATAAAAAAAAAAAACACAACAACCTCATCCCGGAACAGTGGAATTTTTCTTCTCTACTCTGCCGCCGGTCTCTTCTTCTTGCCTCCGTCCTGGGCGGCCCTTGACGGTGTTGCCTCCGTGTTTCCCACTCCACTGGGCACGATCACTCCACCCTGCTCCTCCACTACAGCATATGGCGGACCTCCAAATCGGAACATCACGGTGGCCTTCCGCTTCAGCTCCTTATTTTCCGCCTTCCGGTCGCCCAAGCAGTCCAGATGTTAGCCCGGTTCGGAACATCACGGTGGCTTTCCGCTTCAGCTCCTTGTTTTCTGTCCTTAGCACACTTATCTCTGCTCGCGCATCCTTATACATGCGTTGGAGCAGAGCCAGCTGGGAGGTTAACTGCTGCACTTCATTTGTCCTACTCTGCAGCCGGTTCGACAAATTTGTGACCGCCGTCATGGTTTCCACGCATGACTTCAGAGTATACTGATTAGCCTCAATATCAGTTTGCATCGCCATTTTTTTGCTCCACCGACCGCATCGGAAAGTTCAATGGAGCAAAACCAGAGGTGTTTGGTTGCGGTTCACTGGCCACCGCACCAGTTATTTCTCTTGTGGGCTCGTTCAGTTCTGGAAAGAGCGTGAGGAGGTTCTGGGTAACTGGACGGGAAGAAGAGGCCATGTTTTTGAGTTGCTAAGTGTTTCAAAGAAGGGTTGGTTTCCGG